CTGCCTCTTAACTTTTGAGTTTTTCTCTACTCTAGTCTTGGAGCTGGAAAGGTAATTGTACTACTAAAATGAGTAAATGTTGCAAACTTACACTCTAACATGAGTACTAAATACCTGCTTGCATTTGTTTTATTTTTGATACTTTGATTAACTTCAAGTGGACCTTTTTTACCCCTTTCACTAAAAATCACATCAGCATACAGCTCTGCATGCTGATATGAAATCATCTTACATTCATTAAACAAACATATTTTTATTTTATAAAATTTTTATTTTTTTCCACTTCCTGGTCCACTTTGGCTCAAATAATGTAATCATGCCCAAGCATTGCATCCTAGGAAGGTTACATCAGCAGAGCATTTCTGGGAAATGTCATGGGAATGGCATTTTGCTCCCCTGAGAGGGTGTGCATGATCACATATCCTAGTCACGTGCCAGAGTTTCAGGAAGTAAAGGGTGATATAGCGATCTGCCACTTAGAAAAGAAAGTGGGAGAAAAGAAAAATAAGGTTTGCAAAGAATAAAAAGCCGGCAATTATCTAGAAGTATGTGTTTATAGATTGTCATTACTAAACATTTCTAAAGGTGTCTTCATTTCAGAGATATGGGCAAAGTTTCTCTTTTTAAATGTTATAAAATGTATTAAGTGGAAGGCATTTGTTCAATTATATTCATGTGTGGTCCACTTTATCTCATCCTTTTATTTGCCTTTCTAGGCCATGGAACCCTCACTTGAAGGAGAAGGTGGAAGATGTGAAAATCATCTTACACATGTGGTTAGCGCTCTTTTATAGCAAACCCAGCCAGCAGCTGATTAGCAGCTCTCGGAAAGTTGTAGAGCACAGCAACCCAGCAAAATACGTCTCTATCAACACAGTGCATGACCCGCTTTATGAGATTGCAGAGGTTGATGCTGATGATACCAAGAACAGTGATGACAGTGGCCTCATGAGTAATTACACTAGCACTCGATCCCAAATCATGTCGGATGTTTCTCCAGAGTGGCATGAAATGAATGAAGATAACAGTAGCAATCAACCTGTGGATTTAAGTGTTGCTTCCAGTATACAAACAAAGGTAAGAAAGCTGCAGTGCCTTCAAATATGCATTAAATGATATGCTTGCATTAATATTCTTGGCACAATAATTCTGCTCGTCAGTCTAAACTTTGTTCAATTATTTGGAGCTGCATCTAATACTGTATTATGTTACAGTTGCTTGTCTAGAAAATGGCTGACTTTTTGCATTAGTCAATATCAAAAGCCATGGCACGTATTTATCAACGTTTGGAAATCATCCTTTTACTGTATGTTGTCAACTTCACAGGGCAAAATTCACCTTGTTGTACACAAACGCGTGTGTCTATATTATATAATACATGGCAAACTACTTACTATAGTAGTCACAAAACTGAAACTGCTGTTGATAACTAGCCAGAAATGAGAAGAGATTGTGGCAAGACTGGGTTGTAATTGCTAATTCCTACTTTGATAAATATGCACCCATGTGCTAATGTGCTGGCTGATATAATTGTTGTCTTGTACCTTTTACTCTTTAATGCATTTGCTTGCTATCTGCAGCAGGGGTGCTATGTGTATATAAAGATGCTTCACTAACTGAGCATAGGCAATGACTGACAGCTTGGTAGCCTACGCTATACTCTGTGGATTTATAAACGGGGACAAGCCCAAAGATACCACAGCATGTTTGTCTGCTGTATTATACAGTTTGACATTTTAACAGATTAAATTACGACTTCGTCCTGTCATGGGTCAGCTGTTAGGGGCCATATTCTAAAGAACTAAATGATCTAACTCTGACAGACCCCACACTATTAAACAAAACTAATGTCCCTGTTAATATATGACGAGCAAGTTACATCATTAACACGATTTACTCTTATCTTGCACTTAACAATACAATCACATATGTACCAAAGTAGGTTGCTCCAACTATAGTGTTGGATATGACAATGCCCACACAAGCTTATTTCACTTCAATTGTAAATGACTTTACAGGCCGAATGGAGTCTGATCGATGATGTATTCTTCCTGGGAGGGGTTAACTTCAAACAAATGAAACTTTACTTTTAAGTGGACATATCTGAATCATCCACCAGATTCTTCTGTTCACAGTGTAGTGAATCTAGTAGTGAGATCTGACTACTTTAGTAACGGGTGTCAGTTATAGGATGAAGTCCAGGAAGACTACGGGAATATTGCTCTGCTAAAGTCTCCAAAAGATTTAAGCATACATGTCCATTTTCCCATGTTTTGTCTGTATAAAATGCTGTAAATACAGAGAAATACCAGTTGATCCTGCTAATAACACAGTGAGTTCCCAACTTACTGATGTTGACTGACAACACTGTCTCTGCTGCACTGCACAGGAATCCCAAACACATACCGGCGTTCGCTCACTTCTCGATCCTGTCACGGCTCTCTGCCATGACAGGGGAGGGACTAGATTCCCCCTCCCCGCTCCGATACTCCAGTGCTGACTGGTGGAACGGACGGGGGAGGGGGCGGGTACAGCTGGCTCTGCCTCTAGATAGGTTGGGCAGATAATAATTGTTGGGATTCGCTTCAGCTGCAGCGTCTCAGTATACCGCGAGCTGAGGTTCGCGGTATACTGAGCTTAGGGTGACGGGAGGGCGCTTGTTCGTGTCCTCCCGTTACCCTAAGGAAATCTATGGGGAAAAGCCCTAACCCCATAGTTCTCCTTTTAATGGAAAGGCAGAGATGGGGAGGTGTTCTGTAGTAAAATCCACCTGTGTCCATCCAGTATTGGAGTACTTATCCTTTTAAACTACATTTTCCAGTTGGGGGAATCGCCTCTAAATAATAGAGTGTTACTTTACAGTATGTGCTCCACAGAGAAGTATCGCGCAATAATTTGAAATAGAAAACCCTTTTTGAAAGTATTTTTTAATTTTGTGAAGATTTACACAAGCCGCTACTGCACCCTCATGGCTTTGCTTTATGTGATTCGTTTATAACTGTTTAAAGGTGATCACCCTACGCTTACTTTTTGCATTAGTTTGGAGAGGATAAGTTAAGACTTTTGAATTCCCCACCAAAACATCTGCATAATGTTTCATTACAGGATTATTATGTAAAATTGTCAAGTGAAATCTTCCAAATGTATAACCAGAGCAGTATGAGTGCACTTTACACAAATAGCCTTCAAACAACTGTGATGTGCAAAATGACATCAACAAGCAAAGTTACTCCACCACCTACAAATCACACGAATACGATATTTTCTGCCAATATTCCATCTGTGTGCTATGCCGATGACAGCGAGCAGTTTAACAATGAACTAACTGCTAAATCTGAGACTTGTGTGGCTATTGGTGGTGGTTCTTCTGGAAAGGTAAATTGTCCATGTGTGTCTGGTATTCGGGTTAGTAGAAAACATTGGTCTCACAAAGCTTTTATGGTCCACCACATTTTTTTACGTTTGTACGTGAACAATCCCAATTCTTCTAAGGTGTTCTCCAGAGGTCATATTTTCTTCCTAGTCAGTTAATCTGCTAACCTGCAACAATAACCCCAACTATATTGGAAGGACATGTATGGAGGTCTAAGAGACTCTGACCATTAACCCCTAAATTGCAAATGTAAATAGTATATCCAAAATATGATCCGCCTATATTCTCAAGGTAATCTCCTCCTTCAATAACCTAACTGAATTAAAGAAGATTGTGACCTCCATAAAGGGAGGTAAGACTCCTGAGGAATCTGTGCAGCAACAGTATAGGCTTCATTATCAAACATCTACCATATCGAAAAGCATATCCAAAATGGAATACATCTTATAGAAAACCCATGTACAACATTAATCATGTACAGATGCACACATTTAAAAACACTCCCTTTGGTTTTTCTCCCAAGGAGAGTGAAAAATCTGGTAGAGCCTCATTAATGAAAATGAAATAGAATGCTATACAATTATATTTGAATATTTTCGACAGTTATATGTGAATTTATTTATAGAAGACTGTGCATCAATACAGCAATATATCACATATAGCATTCCATTTTCAATAATGTTGCTCTACCAGATTTTTCACTCCCTATGGGAGAAAAAACAAGGAGTGTTTTTAAGTGTCTTTTGAATGTGCGTCTCTGTGCATGATTAATGCTGCATATGTTTTTCTTATAAGATTTATTACGTTTTGGATATGTTTTTAGTTATAGTAGATGTTTGCTAATGAAGCCTAACTGTCCTGGAGTGGTTAATACCACTCCATGAGTGGTCATGTTCATTTAAAGAAATAAGAGTTTAGTTTGCCGAAGGGAAGGGATTAAGAAAAAAACAATCTATGGATGAGAGATTGCATGGGGGCTGCAGAGCAGAATCTCCTTTTTAAATATACTCGGGGGTCTATTTATATACAATTTGCAGAGCCATTGCCCCTGCGAATCTCTGTGAATGTTCGTTCTGTGCAAATGGATGGACAAAATGAACATTCTTGTATATTGTCTTTCTAAAGTTTCTGTGCTAGGCCCTATACTGTTTAACCTGTTTATTAATGATATCAAGGAAGATGTTAATAGCCATGTTTCTGTGTTTGCTGATGATACTAAAATTGGGAGGGTAAGAGACACGGACTTAGACACTATAACTTTACAGGAGGAGCTGAATAAAATAGGGGAGTGGGCAACAATATGGCAGATTAGGTTTAATGTTGAAAAATGTAAAGTAATGCATTTTGGGATTAAAAACAGGCGAGAAAAATACACATTAATGGGTGCTCCACTAGGGAAGGCAGAAATGGAAAAAGATCTGGGGGTCATAGTAGACAACAGATGGAACAATAGTATGCAATGCCAGGCTACGGCAAACAAAGCTAGCAGAGTACTGTCTTGTATTAAAGAGGGAATGTACTATGGAGACAAAGCAATCATTATGCCACTTTATAGATCGCTGGTTCGGCCTCATCTGGAGTATACGGTCCAGTTTTGGTCACCAATCCACAGAAGATATGTCCTTGAGCTGGAGAGAGTCCAGAGAGGGCAACAAAAATCATTAAGGGGCTGGAGGACCTAAGCTATGAGACAAGTTTACTGAATTTAAACTTGTTCACGCCGGAAGTGAGGAGATTAAGAGGAGACATGATTTTGGTACAAAATGTTTAGTGGTGATTGCAACATCAGCAATAAACTGTTTACAGTAAACTCCATAACAAAGACTAGAAGCCACCTCGTAAAACTGGTGGAGAGAAGATTTAACAACAAGGGGCGTAGGGGCAAGTTCCAGACTTTAAGTGCGGTTAAAGTCTGGAACTTGCTTCCACAAGAAGTATTATCAGCTGAGAGTATTGAATCATTCAAAGAGCATTTGGATTCCTTCCTCAGAGACCGTAACATACAGGGGTACAGGTACTCTTAAAAACAAGGTCACGCAGGAACTCATGTACACATATACACATGCACAATCACTCACAGACACACAAAGGTTGAACTTGATGGACCTGTGTCTTTATTCAATCTCAAATACTATGTAGCAAGTATTTTTCAATTTCATCTGGTAATACCTCATTATGGTCTCTAGATGGTGCTGAGGAGCATAGAAAATACCAATTTCCTTTTGGATGTAGTTCGGCTTTAAATTTCATCCCTGTTTGTCCAGAATAAATTACTTGGGTCTCAAAATAATAGCACAGTTCAAAGACCATTCCCGTTAACGATCCAACTTCAGAGACGAGTTTGCTTACAAGCTGATTAACATCACAAGTTACTTTACACTACTGTTCTTTGCACTGAGATGTGGTTACTGCATGTTTACATGCATACAAAATGCATAAGACCATTAGACATAAATTACATTCAGCTGTGAGTGGCTGACCTTGGCTTTCTCTTTGACAGAACACCAGATGTTTTTAAGCACAAGAAAACACTTTTGTTCCTATTATGTACTGTCTGCACTATGAATGATGCACAATCATATTGAAGGATACAAATGTACTTTCGTCTTGGACACTATGGAGAAATACATTTGTTCAAAAATTACAAAAAGTTCACATGCAAGAAAACACTTTATCAAAACATTAAAAAACGTACATAGCTCTCTAATGCAATTCGCCATCAATAAACACGCAATTGCAGGTGTTCAAATGGACACCTGAGCTGGATGACCTGTCCTATATCTGCAAATGAAATGCTAGAGTCAGTGAAATCGCTAGAAGTACATAGACATGTAATGAAGAATAGTTATGTCCCCTACAAGATGGTGTGTTGAGAGATTTGCTCCCTAACTTTTGCAGCTTCATTGCTCAGATTGCATGGAAACAGCGCTTTGACCAGCTTTTCTTGGATGTGTTGTCCTATCTAGTTCCGCTGAGCTTAATAAAGCATAATTTTTTTAATTTCCAAAATGGTAAGTAGTGGCAGAGAATGACAGGGTTTACTTGGTGTGTTTTTAATAAATTGTCCCTAAAGAGATTTGTGTGTCCCCTAAGCAAAATATAATACCATAGATGAGTGTACTAGATCCTGTTAAAACTGTGTGTGGTTGAGGAGAGCAGGCCTCCAAAAAATATAACATCTTAAGAACATTCTGTTGCATTCACTTAATGCTTTTTGTATTAACTACACTAAACTACTATAAAATATATGGGGCTAAGGCAGTGGAGAACAATCTATTAGACATTCAATAAAAACTTCTTCTATTAGGGATGTTTAGATACCAGTTCAGATACCAATGCCAATACTTGGCATTTTCATGAGAACTACCGGAGTCACAGAGGTTGCAGATGTGACCGGGCCACCACTGTCTTTAAAATCATTAGTCTGTAGTGTTTTATAAAAACTGTCACATGACACTAAACAAAAATAGTATTGGTGCATCCCTAATATAAATATAATTAATATTACACAGTGAGGAAAATAATTTCATCCCCTGCAGATTTTGTAAGTTTGCCCACTTACAAAAAAAAATTAGGGTGTATAATTTTTATTATGGGCGTATATTTAAATGATAGAGACAGAATATCAACCAAAAATCCAGAAAACACACATTATATAAATGTTATAAATTGAGTTGCAGTTCAGTGAGTAAAAGAAGTATTTGATCCTCTATCAACCAACAATAATTCTGGCTCCCGCAGACTGGTTATGTGGTACACAGATTAGTCCTGTCAATGTAAGAAGGTGCTCCTAACGACAACTCGTTATGTATATAAAAGACACCTGTCCATAGAATCTTTCTTCCATTCAAACCTCACCACCATGGGCAAGACCAAAGAGCTGTCAAAGGACGTTGGAGACAAGATTGTAGACCTGCACAAGGCTGGAATGGGCTCCAAAGACTATCGGCAAGAAGCTTGGTGAAAAGGAAACAACTGTTGCAGTGATTATTCGCAAATGGAAGGAATACAAAATAACCATCAATCGCCCTCGGTCTGGAGCTCCATGCAAGATTTCGCCTCATGGGGTAAGGATGATCATGAGAAGAGTGAGGGAACAGCCCAGGACTACACGGGAGGAACTTGTGAATGATCTCAAGGTAGTTGGGACCACACCAAACAAACCATTGGTAACGCAATACACCACCATGGATTGAGATCCTGCAGTGTTCGCAAGGTCCCCCTCCTCAAGAAGGCACATGTACAGGCCCGTCTGCAGATTCAGAGAAGGATTGAGAGAAAGTGCAGCGGTCTGATGAGACCATAATTGAGCTCTTTGGCATGAACTTGACTCGCCGTGTTTGAAGGGAGAAAAATGCTGACTACGACCCTAAGAACACCCTCCCTACAGTCAGGCACGTAGGTGGAAACATTATGCTTTGGGGCTGTTTCTGTGCTAAAGGTACAGGCTGACTTTGCCGCATTGAGGGGCCATGTATTGTAAAATCTTGGATGAGAACTTCCTTCCCTCAGCCAGAACACTGAAGATGGGTCGTGGATGGGTCTTTCAGCATAACAATGACCCAAAATATACCGCAAAGGCAACAAAGCAGTGGCTCAGGAAGAAGCACATTAAGGTCATGGCCTAGCCAGTCTCCAGACCTTAATCCTATAGAAAATTTTAGGAGGGAGCTGAAACTTCGAGTTGCCAAGCGACTGCCAAGAAACCTTAAGGATTTAGAGAAGATCTGTACAGAAGAGTGGACCAAAATCCCTCCTGAGATGTGTGCAAACCTGGTAACCAAATAGAAGAAACGTCTTACCTCTGTGCTTGCCATGAAGTACCAAGTCATGTTTTGCTCTTCCCCATAGCCAATGCTCCTTAAAAATGACAGCTGACTACTAACTTTTGAGTTTTTCTCTAGTCTAGTCTTGGAGCTGGAAAAGAATCTGTACTTGTACCGAGTAAGGTACTTGGTATCTGAGCATCCCTAACTTCTACACATTATAAGTTGCTCTAATGTCCTTCTTATCTCTAATTCTAGGTGAACCCCAGGGAAAGTGAGCACAAATATTCCAAGCGTTTCTCTAGTGCAGAAGAAACACAATGGTCAAGTGGCTCAGAAAAAGGTTTTAATATGTTACATGAAGATTCACATTCAACAGTTTCTAAAAAGGATGAAAGTGCTGAAAACTATGATGTATACGTTTCTCCTCGACCTATGAGCCATACGCAAGCGGAAACATTCTCATTAGGTGATGACAGGTTAGCCATGATTGGTGATAAGAACCATCCAGCTGCAGCCAGTAGTAAGGTCAAACATCAAGAGTATACTCATGTTACAAGTAGCACTGTTGATGATGCAGAGGATTCACCCTCTGATGCCTTAAACATGAACAGTACTGCAGATGTCTTCCATGAGGACGATGGACATTCTGACCATTCAGAGGCCACAGGGGAAGATTTTCTTAAGAAGAGAAGTCCTTTGGTTTCCTTTATGCACTCTATGCAAAATATACATGCAAACTCTGAGCGGCAGGAAACTATATTAGAATCTGCTGACAGCAGAATTGTACTGGAAGCCAAGCTTCAGGATGTTCGGCAAAATAATGAAGACAAAGAACTGGACACGTCTAATGTTCACTTAGTCGTTACTTCAAGTAGTAATGGTAGTGAATTGGGGATGTGTAAGAAAAGCACTTACTACAATAATGATTTGAAATCTTCATGTGAGGAAAACCAAATGGATATAACATTTTGCAACAATGATGACCTGTCACCTTTGACAAGCTCGAATTTTAAATCAAATTCTACTCCTTTGGATGATGGAAAGGTACATACATTGTTTGTTTTTGTTTTGTTTTTAAGCATGTAATTTTTATTAAATTTTTCAGGGATAAACAATGTTTTGAGACAAGAAAAAATAATCGAATGCAGATATATAAAACACAGCAAGTGTCAATCATTAAACAAACAATGTACATAATGGTAGCATTGTTTGTGAACATTGTTTGTGAACTGCAACATTTAATATATGTGGTCAAAACCAAGGGAAAAGCAAGTAAGAGGGCAAAGGACAGGAAAGTGTCTGGTCTAAGGGTAGTAACTTGGAAGGAAGTGGAGAGTCGCAAATTGGATAAGGTGGGTGGAGGAGTGATCAGATATAGTGTGTTGGCGGGACAGGATACTTGCATAAAGGTCATAGATCTACGGGACTAGGAGGAGGTGTAGGTCAGTCAGGTGGTATTGCTAGAGGGACCTACGGTCAGTCGCTATAACATGTATTGTTGATTGTTGACCTGGATATATGATTTAGGTATTGATTTAGTGTTTTATTTTTTGCATTTTCCATTTGTTGTTAAGCAATGGAAATATTTGCATTCAATCTTTTGGGGCGAGTCTGTAAATTTGCAAGTCTCAAATATGGCAGCTGCACATGGCCACTTATGTAGTCGCCAAAAGAAGCAGCTGTCGGCAGCTGGCGGAGGGAATGTAGTGAGAAGTTTGCAGAGGGTGGCATTTGGGAAAATACAATGTAACAGCACGAGTTATATTTAAAAGTGAGCTCTGCTAATAACACCTTTTATACAGGTGATGGGGGGGCATAAAAATGTGCCAGAAAAGCTGTCTGGTGCAAACATTGTAATACAGTACTATGCTGAAAGCTGTTCAAACACAGTAACTGCAAAAAGTCACTCATACAGACACGTTCATATTATACCAATGGTAAATAGACCTTAGGGACATGGCAAGTATTGTTTGCAATCCTGTCCCAATGCCTTAACTGACCTTGTATATTTCCCAGCATATAAAGAGTTAATAGCTTTAGGGAGGAGCAACCCCAACATGCTGGAGACTCTGCTTCAGTCCAGAAGAAAGGCAGTGAGGCGCAGCACAGTGTCATCAAATGACACATTGTGAATCATGCCAAGAAAACTACAGACACACCAGACTCTTATGCTACATAGGAGGAAACCCACGCAAAATTACAGAAAATAAAATTGACATGGTGTATTTGTACACTTCCCCCCCACACATCCCCTTCCCACTCCACTGCCTTCCTTCAAATCAGATTCCTACCTTATACTCTTCACCACAGTATGGAAGAGGGCAGGACTTTAAGCAGGTCTGAATGGGATGCTTGGGGAGGTCCTGGAGTGGTGCGGCACCCTAGTTGAGAAAGTCTGACCTGGTCTATGGACTTTAAACTATCTACATATTCTTGACAAGCAGGTAATGCATGTTCAATTAAGCCCCCTCCCCCCAGTTTCTTTTAATATTCCGTTATTAATTTTCTAAAATACTTAAAGATCACGAGAAAGACTTTAAATTAGGGTTTTATTTGATTTTTTTTTTTTTAACAGCTTATAAAACAAATAGGCTGTTGGCAACAAAGGGGTTGCAGGCTTCCAAGATTCTGTTCTCATAGAAAAGATAGGCAGAGCCAGCAGTCATTCACGCAGCTGGGCAGATCCCGGCACAATTGTTGCGATCCGCTTCAGCTGCGGCGTCTCAGTAAACCGTGAGCAGTAGCTCGCGGTATACTGCGGTGTCTCAGTATACCGCGAGTTACGGCTCGCGGTATACTGAGCCTAGGGTGATGGGAGGACGCTAGTTTGTGTCCTCCCGTTACCCTAAGGAGAACTATGGGGGGAAAGCCTTAACCCCATACTTATCCTTTTAAGAGTGCATGATCAGGACACAGGTTCACTTTAATTACCACCCTGATTTCAGTTTTTCCTCCAACATGGTCCTGCCTGACTGCTGTTCATACTTTGCATGCGTTCCATACCCCCATATCTGCTGCTAAGCCATACTCCTGTTAGCCTCTGGTCCCTCTGAGTATGGCTTACCCATAGGAATGAATGGGGCTGCAGCACTCGTGCGGTATGAAGAGGAGTCAGCTGGAACCTTTTTAGAGGAAAGATAACTGAATCCGGTAGGAATGTTAGCATAATGCTTGGTGGGCTGTACTTGGGGGGTTAGAGGATTTATTAATGGACAAATATGCTAACGGTGAATTTGTCCTTTTAAATGGCCCAAAACACTGCTATTATCTGAAATATCACTTTAAGAATACCAAGGATAGGTAAGGCACAGAGGTGCCTTGGTAGAAGCCAAAGAGTGGCTTTTGCTGCTTTATGTATATTTTTTTAATACACATGTATTTGGGAGCAAGCATGTTTACTTCTTGCTTGGTAGCACTGTATATTAATTATAAGGGTACAATTTTGTGGATCAAGTCTGCCCTGATTAAAGCACTGTGACCGTATCTGAAGGGATACAGCGACTTTAAAAGGTAGTCAGCCTATGGAAGTTTTTGAGTTTTATTGTAATAGAATTATTACAAATTGACTACTCTATGTCAAAGTGAAAGCAGATCTTTAAAAAGTAATTTAAGTGACTTCAGATTAAAAAGCGCTGAATGCCTGACTGCATACGTGTACACCCCCTTCAAATTGGTGTGTCGTAGATGTACTTTTAGCAGCAAATACAGCTTTTGTTTCTGTGTGGATATGTCTCTATTAGCTTTGTACACATTTGCCAGTTGCAAAAACTGCAAGTTTTCCCCTTTCTTTGCCTGACTGCATCAGGTTTTCCTCCAGGGTTTCTTTGTACATGCCTTCCAGGGCTGCTGCAGAGGAACATTCCCGCACAATGATGCTGCCACCTCCATGCTTCACAGTGGGGATAGTGTGTTTATGATGTGTTTGGCTTATACCAGCGCTCAACCATATAAGCTGTGGTCAATATTTGCACAATAGAACACCCCAGGTAAGATTATTCAAGGAGACACATGAAGGTGCCAGCTTTAACCACCTTCCGTCCATGGCCGTTTGTGAACGGCCGGACGGAAGTCTGCTAGGAGCGGGAGGGCATCTTAAGACGTCCTGCCCCTACCCCCTCTCGTGTGCGGCTGGGACCGGCGCGGCGATGATCTAACAGCAGATCAAAGGGAGATCATTACTCGATTTTCCTTTGATCTCTCTTCCTGTCCCCAAATGCAGGAAGTGATGTATATTACATCACTTCCTGCATTCAGTGTCACTCTCCGGTGCAGAACACCGGAGAGAAGCTGATGAAGCAGATCTCTGCTTCATCAGCTTCTGTGGGGGTCACTAGGTGACATCAGAGGTCTTGGAGACTAAACTAAACACTAAACTGATGAGCGGTAAAAACGTTTAAAGTGTCGCCTATGGCCAATTTTGGTTGCGGTTGTTTTCTGCGATTTCGCGGGCGTGCGCAATTTTAAAGGTTGACATGTTTAGTGTCTATTTACCCGACGTGACCCCGTCTTTTATATTATACCAAAAAATTGGGGTGAAAATAAATGTTTCATAACATTTTATAGGGCAACATGTTTTTTTTTCAAAATTTAGGGTACTTTTTTTGTTATATAGTAAAAAATAAGAACCCCAGTGGTGATTAAATACCACCAAAAGAAAGCTCTATCTGTCCCCAAAAAATGGTATAAAATTAATTTCAGTACAGCGTTGCATGACGGAATAAACGTCAGTCAAAGTACCGCAGCGCTGAACACTGAAAAATGGCCTGGCCAGGAAGGGGGTGAAACACCCCGGTCTTCAAGTGGTTAAGGACCTGGGGCCACTTTACAGAGTAAGATAAACCCACAAGCTTGTTTTAGGACCATCAATGAGAGATGGTTAAAGATCTATCATCCAGCTAAAGAGATTATTTATTTGGCTTTTTCTGTACTTTATTCTTCTGTCCAAATTTTCTTTTATCATAGGTTTTAGAGTCTAGGAGTCGGTTAAATTATGACAACCCTCCAACTCTCGAAAGCCCAAAGGCAGCGAGAATTTCTCTTGAATTAGTGCACAGTGAAGAATCTAGTATGCAAGGTGAAAGTCAAGACCATGCTACAAGAAACATGGATTTGGCACAGAGCATTAAAGAAGCAGATACCTGTATTGGCATTGAGCTTAATGATGGCAAAGATTCCAGTGTTGATCCAGAGCTTACGGGTAATAGCTTTAAAGAAGCTAAAGCAAGTTCTTCCACTCATGAAGAAATAATAGAACGTTCAGAGCAATCTCTAGATGAGATGGAAAAATTTCAAAAAGAGACTTCTTCGTTGGATGAAAATGACACCAATGAGGCAAGTACTGTTAGAGGCATCTCAGAGAAACATATTGATAACTACTTAATTCATGGAAAATATTAGCTTGCCTATCCCCGGACAGTGCTCCAAGATTATTATAGTAACATGTTTGTAATCTGTTTGGAGGTACTCAATTGGTATTTCTCAGTCTGTCCAAAGTCAAAAGATTTGGGAGTGGTAAAAACGATATGGTTGTCTTTTGCAATCTATATTTCCCTTCACTTCTGTACTGTAGACCCAAAAAATAGAGATCTCTCCACTGTCAGGAAATGTCTCTTAAACAGTTGTCAGCGGAACATGTGTCTGCATTGGAAAGATTCCCCTTCAGTCCTGTTTTTGGTGAAAACTCAAAAGTTTGAATTTCCCATCACTTTCGGTCCCCCCCCGAGAAATAGCATAAATCGGCCTAACTGGGATACAGACGACCATAAAAAAAAAATTTGACACGGGTTCTAAAGCCTGACTACAAACTAAAAATAAAAGTTTTGGCTTATAGATAGATACACTTTAATATGACACTGTAGGTTGTGTTGAGTTGACTAGAGGAATAAGTACTCTAAGAGGGATGATTCATCTATATTGTTGGAGAAAAGAACATGCAACAAAGGAGAATTCCCTTCCCTATGGATGAAGGTGAGTGAATATGGTAAACCTCTAGATAGGAATACTTAGTTCACTTTGGAATAAGGTCAGAATGGTTTCCTGTGCAAAAATTATCTGCTATGTATGTGTTACATTCTGTATGTTGCATCTCTGCATCTTTGTAAAGCATGATTTATATATTAATGTTCCCTGTTAGAATCAGTAGTGATATTGTTATGGCTGAGCTAGCCAAAGATTCAAATGGGTTTGTTGATATGTTTATAGCCGAGCTCCCTATAGACTGGAGAGGGCATGGTAATAGGGTTTATAGACTGGAGAAGGCTTTCGTGATAGGTCTGTAGCAGATTGAACAATAGACTGGAGTGGATTCCATGATTAGCCTGCCCTCAGGGCATCCCGTCGGTGTACTGCTGCAGAGCATTCCATAACCATGAGGTTTGTCAGCTAGCAGGGGGGCAGAGAGGGACAGGCTGGTGCCAGTTGATTAGTGATCAAGGCAGGTTTCTAATCCGTTCCCCACAACATCAACCCTTATGCAGGCACCCACAGTCATCAGAACTTATATGGCCGCCTCAAGCAGTTATCATTTCATGTGCACCTCAGCATAGCAAGTCTTCTCATGCAGCTTATCTCCATTATTACAGGTTTCAGAATTATGGACAGTTTGTTCTAGTTATGGACAAGATAATGAACATTCATATGGTACCAAGGTAAGCATGACTCTGGTATAACACACAATGATTCCACATATTATTTATTTTGTTAGGTGATTGTAGCTGTATTTTAGTGTGCTCAGGGCAAGCTTTCAGGAAATCTACTACCACCTTCCAGTCCAAGTAGTTCTAATGCACTGAAGTTTAGAAAAATACTAACAGAAACTGCAATTAAGATAACAATCTGTGTAAGTTAGGGAAGAGTGACCGAATGGTAATAAGTGAGCTAGATAGAGAGGGAGAAGGTGTAGAGTCCAAAGGTGAGAATGGTAATAAAATCAACTCTGTGGGTTAGAACTAAGATCAACATTGAGTCCATTATCTTTTGTATCAAATAGAATTGGCATTTTTAGTTTAACCCCTTCACGACCTATGACAGCATAATCCCATCATGAAGTCTGAAGACACAGACGTTTTGTAGAGCCGGTTACCGGGTTTAGAGTAGTTGCGATTCTGGCGACTCATCTGCCGCCAGATCGCTTCTACGATCCCCTATGTGATAGCAATTAAAGTAAAATAAAAATATTAAATTAAATGTAAAAATACATTTTAAGTCCCCCACCCCTGCAAGCACGCGCGTTGTCACATAAACATGTTTCGGGTGCGCCTGCGTTCGGCAACGACGATCGTGCTACACATGTTGGGTATCACCGTGCACGCCAGAGTGTGAGCAATAATTCTAGGGCCAATATTTACATGCATCTCTAAACTGATGACCTGTAGGGGCTTTTAAAGTGTTGTGTATGGACTTTTTGGGGTACTAAATTCTGTTGCAGTTTCACAGAAGTGCACAATTTTTAACCTGGGCATGCTGTGTATCTATTTACTTGTAAACCTCATCTTTTATATTTTATAAAAAATATGGTTTTATATTGTGTTTTGGGGCACTAATTTTAACTTAAGTGCATTTTTCACAAAATCTTTGGGTTTGATCATAAGTTGCGCTAATATCGTGCAACATAAAAATTTGCAACTGCCTCCATTTTATTCTATAGGGTCTTGGCTTTCAAAAAATATATAATGTTTGGGGGTTTTAAGTAATTTTCAGGCCTAAAATGTGGATTATAACATGGGTGCAAAAAATGAAGAAAAGGGCTTGGTCCTTAAGGGGTTAAAGTTTCCTTTTCTAAATTTCTTTGCATCTGGCTCGCATACATGGAAAAAATAGTGTCACTTATCCGCCCCCCTTCACATTTGCCCCCGTCTGCAATGGTTCACAGAATAAAAGACGTTCTGTGACTGGACAAAGGAAGAGGGGCATGGGACAGTAGCAGAACAGAAGGACAGCCATAACTGTACTTTTCGGCTTAAATAAAAGTGTGATTTGTTTTTTATTTAGTTTGTTCCTCTATACAGCAGTGATCCAGAAATGGGGTAAACCTCATTAGGGTTTTTTTTTACACACCAAAAGTCACAAAAACCTCACTTGTCTGGATTCACCTGTGACTCTAGTAAAAGTAGTAACTATTGATGCGGCAGTAAGTTGTCATTCCCTAAAGCCGATCTCCGGGATTTTCAAAAGTTAACCCTTGCAGTGGGGCTTCCCCTTGTACTGCAAAGGTTACCTGCTCGTTTCGTCTAGGAAATGAAAATAAAGAAGATACTTACCCGACCCTTGTTCCTGCGGCGGTGACCGCTCACCTTTCTCCACCTCTTGGCTCCAGCTGTTGTATGTCCCTCGGTGTCCTCACGTCTAATGCGAGTGAATGGACCTTGCACAGACTTGATGACATCAGCGGGGCTTAGACCGCCAGAGCCCAGGGGAGAGGAGATTTGGGGACCAGTTTAACAGCCAAGCAGGATCAAGGATCAGGCGAGTGTATTTTCTTTATTTTGTATCAGTTAACCCTTGCAGTGCAGAGGTTGCCCCACTGCATGGGTTAACTTTTGAAAATCCTGGTGTTCCTCTTTAAAGTGACACTAAACTCAAAAGATAAATCCTAAAAATGCCTTTAAGTACCTTACCTATTGACAAAAATGTATCTTATTTGTGTATCACTCAGCTGTAGATCCTCAAGTCATCTCTGAATTGGTGCTGACAATGTCCTTCCTTCTGGAGGGTGAGCTACTTGTGGTCCCTGTGTGTGTTGTAAAGTTGCCACCACTCCAAGCTCACTCCTGTGATGGACTACAATCTCACGTTTAGTTTACTAATTTGTATTGAGATTGTAATCCATCACAGTAGTGAGCTTGGAGCGGTGGCTACTTTATAACACACACAGGGACCAAAAGGAGCCCCCCTCCAGAAGGAAGGACAGTGTCGGCACCAATTCAGAGATGATTTGAGGATCTACAGCCGAGTAACAAATAAGTTACAGTTTTGTCAATAGGTAAGGTACCTGAATACATTTTTTAAGATTTAACTTTAGTTTATTGTCACTTTAAGATAACAAAGTTGTATATAGTCCGTTTTTTTTCCCCAAAGACTTTCTTCTAGAAATATTTGTACTATGCAATCTATGGACAAAAATTTGCACATTTTGATCTTTAATTTTCCCGTTTATGCGGACACTAAATTTACCTTTCTACTGCTAAGCATGGCAGCGTTATTTACAACAACAAAAAATGTTTTTGTTTTATAATTCACCAATAAAAAAAAGTATAGGTACAAATCAATAAAAAAAAGTATAGGTACTACTACAAATCAATAAAAAAGTTGAAATATTAATGTTAAAAAAAAAAAACACCAAAACATTAGCAGCTAATAAAAGCAAAAGGGGGAAAGGAGTTCATTAGGACTTATTGGGGTTAATGGGATTATAGAAACTAGTTTATAGATTATAGAAAATAGTTTGTTTTCTTTTTTTCAAGGTTTCTTTAACAGACTACATATGCAGATGGAAGTGTAGCACTAGTAACATTGCTACATTGTAATTCTTATTGACACTGCAGCCACTGAGTGGCAGTTTACACAGGAAGAGGCAAGAGCTGCTCCTGTGAAATTAAACCATTCCAGGCTGTCATTTTGAAAGTCTGGATTTGCCAGGAAATGTTGGCCAGGCAGTTGTGGTGAAGGAGTGGAAGCAGGACAAACCACAGACGTCCAGAGTCTTTAAAGACCGTTTTCAGGGCATGTGTGGTATGCTTAAAGTCCGGATTTGATTCAAAACTGGGACATTCATATCTTCCAAAGAGTGGTCTGGATGTAAGAAGTGATGGCCTACTGCTATACAGTAATTTTGTCTTCCTTGTCTCATGTTATGCAGTATTTAAGTAGACTCCTTTTTTCCTGAATGCAACATCACTGGTTGCATTCACTGAGATACACCACATTACTGGAGGTATAGATGTATGACGCTCTAATCTTAAAAGTAAATTTACCATGATGGATGAATGTGGCTGCAAAGTTTTAAGCATTATTGTTTTCAGTATCCATGTTGGTACCATTCAGAAAAGGGAATCGTGTACAAAGAATAGAATAGATTTGTCCATTCTTATCACTCTGATCTCCTGAAACCTTATCCTTATTAACCAAAAAATAACCTGGTTTTGCGTGGGAAAAAAGATCACATACTCTACTCAACTATGTTGTTGCGTAGATGTCACATATTGCAGTGTAAGGGTATACAGATATCTTTTTACTTTTAAGAGCTAGGCCAGTCCAGCAGGCTCTGCTGCCCAATGAAGAGTTAGCATTTCACAGTTACATGACAGGGGGTGGAAGATAATCTCGACTTGGGCAATCAAATTTGTGTATTTAGCCTGGATCTAAGATTCTAAGGGACACAGGAATTAATTTTCACATACACACAGGTACTAGTTACCAAATGTGCCTGTAAGAAAGCACTTACACTTTTTAGACCAGGTCCGTTTCACTTTAAGAGGGGGGTCATTCAGCTTTATAACCTACACTTGTGGAAATAACTCATGGAAATTATGCAAACAAAAGTTCTTAATTTGTGGCCTGTTTGTCTTCAATCTTTTCACTGATTATAGGTTGCCACATTTGGGAACATGGACAAGCTGGAATTAAGCCCTAGCTCCACTGAGACTTCAGATGTCGAGGCCATGGATACAGAAAATGCAGGCAAATCTTGCCCAGAATCATCTGAGGATGCTAACGAGGAAAAGTCATATAGTAATGAAAAATCCGATTTGGTAGATACCTCTACAGAAGTTTCTGTGGCTGTATTGCACCAGGATGATGCTAGAAACTCTGAGGATGATGGATGCCAAGTAAACAGGAACTCAGTTGCCGTAGAAGTTACAGATCATAGCACTGAGGTAAATAAGATGTAGAAAACAAAAACATTTTGCTGGTTTTGGGGAGATATTTTTTTTCTCTTTCAAATGTGCCTTTTGTCTAAGTGATATAGTGAAAAGGTTAATACCTTTTCTACCAAATTAGTTGCCAGCTTTTGTGCTTGTTCAGGTCATCTTTCTCCAGGCCTGGGGGGTATGATGTGCAGCGACTCAGACCTGTTTATGAAACACTAGGGCAGGGCTCAAAATTTCCACTCGCCCGCTCGCATTTGTCGAGTGGAAATACAGTGAAGGCGATTGGAAATTTGGATTCTCAAAGTACCGGCCCTAAGCCAACAAGTGAGGCACACGGTCACAGGCCATGTATCTGACTTGCGGAAGCAGCTCCACGGTCTGCATCTCTGTCAGATGCAGACCGTAGAGCTGCTCCTGTCAGCACTGGCTTCCTTCGGCCGGAGCTCTGACAGTTCTGAGCTCTGGCCGAAAGAAAGGATGGATTAGTGATCCCCCTAGATCACCAGGGATCGATCTGCCTCCTCCCTGGAGATCTAAGCAGGTGAGGTGGCTTGCTGTGGGAGGGGTGGCAGGGGAGTGTATTTTATGTGGGGGGATCTTGGAACGGGGGTGTATTATTTTATGTGTGGAGGGGCTTAAAAGGGGGCAGTGTATTATTTTATGTGTCTGGGGTGGAAGGGCAGGGTATTATTTTCTGTGTGCGGGGGGGGGGAGGGAGGAATAGGAATACAAATATATTTTTTTATAAGGACAAATGCCTTACTTCTAGTAGTATTGTCCTGAATTATTATATTTTTTTTTTTTTTCATTTTTATGCAAGTCATAGATAAAAATGTAGCAAAACTTAGAAAATTGCACTTTTCTACTTTTGAATTTTTTTTACTGTACATTAACCATGTGAAGACCGGGGTGTTAAAGTGACATTAAAGCATACATTTTTTGCCCCTCCCCCCAAAGTTAATGTCAGCACTTACCTTAAATGATGTCTCTCAATCCGATCTTCTTTCCTGTCGTTTTCATCTGTCCCTCCAGCACTGCTGCGGGTCTCCGATCCAGCGCTGACTCCTCTGTGCTTGCTGGCACTTCTGATCCCACGGTGTCTGCATGCGGGTGCACGCCGTCCATATACTTACCTTGTCTCCTGAAAATCTGAACTGCGCATGCGACCTCCCCGAGATTCTTTCGGCCGCCCAAGATTTTTCGGATGTACTACACACATCCTGTGTGTTTTTCAATGAGGTTTTTTTGGGGCATATGTAGCATGCCACAACTGGTTACCACGTCTGCCTTTATGAGGCCATCTTAGGCCAACCTTTCTACAGAATGTGTGTATTTAAAAACAGCCAAAAGGATAAGGTGCTTTAATTATTGTATTCAGCTTGCATTATTTAATGCAGTCTTGCTTGCTATTGTTGTTTTTTCCCTTTTTTAAATACCCCAGGCATTGTTTAATAAGGAATATACTTGCATGTGATGGTTTTTTTGAAGATATTTTTTTCAATGCTTTTGGCAAACAGTACATCTGGTGGTCCTTACCCTTCTATGCTATTAAATCTTCTCTTTGTTTCTAGATGAAGGAAAGCGCAAAGACAGAAGAAACCCTACCAGTTTATAGCCATAGTCCTTTTCCAACTAGTGACCTCGGTGCTGATAGAACCAACAGCCTTACCACAGTTTCTGCCAACTTTCAGTCAAAAGACACAGAAGCTGCTGATTGCAATTTTTCGCAGTCTGATGAAATGGAAAATATCTCTAAAATAGATGAGATAGAAGATCCTACTGATAACACACGGACATTCTGTAACCAGGAAGTTAGGACTCTTAATAGTGCTGAAATATCGGGGAAAGATCCAAAGACATGTTTTGGAGAAAACTCCTCATTGATTGAGTCTGAGTACAGCAAGGCTGCTGATTTGGAAAGCATGGAAGAAAGAATGTTGCTAGCTTCTGAGTCTAGTAAGGTGACTGATTTGGAAAGCCTAGGGGACAAATCCTCATTGCTTGGCCCGGAGTCTAGTAAGGCTGTTGATTTGGAAAGCCTAGGGGACAAATCCTCATTGCTTGGCCCGGAGTCTAGTAAGGCTGTTGATTTGGAAAGCCTAGGGCACAAATCCTCATTGCTTGACCCGGAGTCTAGTAAGGCTGTTGATTTGGAAAGCCTAAGGGACAAATCCTCATTGCTTGACTTTGAGTCCAGTAAGGCTGCTAATTTAAAAGGCATAGGAGAAAAATCTTCATTGCATGACTGTGCGTCCAGTAAGACTGAAGATTTAGAATACATTTCTGTGTTTGAGAAGCTCAATTTAAAAACGGTCAATGAGATATATACAACTCCCACAGATGCCAAAAAGCAGGAATTGCAGACTCTTGACATAGAGAACCTTCCTGCTGAAAAAGAAACCATTGACAATAATCAATCTGTGGAATTGCTGAACATGCAATCTGACGTTTGTGTACTGGATACAGAAGATCACATGGTACCTAATACGAGCGAAACCGGGAATAGCTGTGAGGTGCTCCAAGCACCAAGTTCTGAGCCATTGAATGAAGTTATTGCTCTAGGTATTAAATCAAAGTCTAATGAAACCAAAGATTCAGATGGTGCCAAAACTCAGCCAGCAAGCAGATGTGTTGATGGAAATGTAGACCAGCTCCATGTTGAATCACAGAGTGATTTTACGTCAGATCCTGTAAGTGTGAGGCATTCTCCTGATCAGCCTAAAAAAAGCACTAAGGTCCAGACCCAAAGTATGAGAAATACAATCCGTAAGGAAATTTTATCCAAATTAAAACTTATCTGCCGAGGTTCAGGAATCAGCCAGCATATAAGCTCTAATTCTGAAGATGAGGTATTCATTGTCCATGAAAAACCTGGTAAATTGCACACAGAGGAACAAAAGAAGCAGAGCGAAAATAAAAAACTGGATTTGGCAAAACCTGAAATAAATACTGTAAGCATTGCAGAAAGTACCAGTAAAACTCAGGAAACCAAAACTCCCGAGTCAGAAAGTCTTGAAGAAAGTCCTGAAGAGATGGTGCAGGAAATGGCAGCAAATAGTCCTTCTATAACTTCAGCGGAACCTGGTATTCTTCAGGAAGTGACGCAGTTGGTTTCTCAAGATAAATGCAAATCCCCACTTCATGATGATTTCACTGATAACATTGATCAGGAATCTGGCCAGGACAAGTCTGAAATCTGTTGTATATTAAATACTGGTAGTATAAGTAAAGAGCAGTACGATCGCTGGTCAGAAACCTCAGACGACGACATTGAATTTATAAAAGAGTATAAAGAACCTCTAACACGTAAAACAAGTAAATATTTCCAGAAAGAATGTCATGAGTTCCCCAGTTCTCCACCAGAAGAGCCTGCATCCTACCCTGAACGAAGATGTTCAAGAAAGACAAAACATTTTAAAAGGCGTTCTGGCCCCAGTGCATCACTGGGGGAGGCAGGTGAATATGTATCAAGACACCACAGAGACAAGGAATATCTTAGCCCTAGAAGTCATGGGGGTATTATCATAACTAGAAAGTTAAAAGATGTCGGAAAGACTTGGCCCACAGTCCACAAAGGGAGCCTCTCTGCTGGCAGATCTGACTTTGACAGCGTATTTACTAATAGAAGAAGGGTCTCAAGTGATCTCACCCAAAACACCCTGGACATGGAGCGTTTGCGTTTCATGTGTAGATTAAAAGACGTTTTAAGAAAATCATCCCCAGATATTCATGTCTCTGAGCCTCCCTTTCAGACATTGTTTGATTCAAGAAGGATTCCAGGCGGCACAAGTTCCAGAAGTAAATGTATAAACCCTCTTCTCATCACAGTGCATTGTAAACATCGCAGGAGAGACTACAGAGGGCATGACAGCTTGTTTCCAAGCAGTTCTTATAGCCACGCCTGTTATGAGAATGAACTACGGGACAAGCCTGCATATTCTAGGACTTCCAAAAAAGTAAGAACCCGTAGATATCCTCCTCCTTATCATTTTAATCGATTGAAGTATGAGAGCACTCTGGAGAAAGCAAATAATGATATCTCGGTGATTATTAAGGAGTGCACTCAGTCCAATCACCTAAAGTTAAGCCATCTTGGTTTAGGTAGCACTGCAGTGGAGAGGACTTCAGCCTGTCCAGTGCCAGAGCAGCGTGGCAGGCAAATAAGACCGACATTTGACCCCACTTCCACTAAATCACAGACTGTTGGGAATATTATTTCTGATCACTGCACTAACCTGCGCTCAAGATTACACAGTGTGGCAAGAGACTCTGCACAAAAAAACTGTTACTTTTATCTTAGCAAGGCCAGTGATGATCATGACGACGATGAGTTCTTCTCATTAACAAAGGTAATATTAAAATTTGCTTTTATTCATCTGTCATTAAAACATTAGTTGTATACTAATGAGTTGTATAGAAAACATCTAATTATTTATTATAATGGGCTTTTCATTTTCAACAAGAAAGCTAGAAACCCCTTTTCCAGAGGGATGTGGTAGTTGGCTTTTGTAACACTTCTTTTTTTTACACTTTGCATAGAGTAGGCGATGATTAAAACCTCTTTCAAGTGTGTTTTTGTTGTTTTCTTTCTTGCAGTCTTTTTGAGGGATTTACCTTCACTTCCTGTCTATGCTGCTACAGGAAGTGATAGGAAAGCTCTACAAAATTAGGTAAATTCTCTCTTAGACAGCTGTCACTTGATCAAGTAGCCCCGCTTGAAGATTCCTCTGTTTCTGTTCCGGTGAAGTGAAGCCAAATTTAGTTTATTTGCTTTAATGGTCATTATTATAACCATTGAACGCCATCACTGAAAATAACAGCCCTTTTGGCAAATGATGAAGTCTAGCATAGCATACTTTGGTTTTTTACATTATATAATATCAGTTACATTTATTTTTCTTTAATGTTTGTATTTTTTAGCACATTTAAAGCACCAGTCGTCGCCAAATGATTAGGCTATCACAAAAAAACAAGATGGGCTTTAATGTTTCCATTTTTTTTAGGTTTTTAGCACCAACTCTTTTTAATCCCAAAAATGTTCTCCAAGCAATATAAAGACCGCTCACACTGCAAAGCTTTCCTTCAGGGCTTGTTCACTTTATTGAAATGTAAAATTTCATTAAATTGGACCTTTACTCCCTTTCACTAAAAATCACATCATGCAACTCTGCATGCTGGTATATCAAATTATATTACATTAGTCAAAGAAACATGTTTTTTATTTACTTTCAAATAAATTTTATCCATCTCCTGGTCCAATTTGGCACAAATGATGTAACGTGCCCAAGCATTGCATCCTGGGAAGGTTGCATCAGCAGACCATTGCTTGAAAATCTCATCTGTAATCTCATGAGATCTCAGGGAAAGGCATTTTGTGCATGGTCACATTTCTAGTCACGTGTCAGAGTTCCAGGAAGTAAACGGACATCTAGTAATCTGCCCTTGGTTAAAATGGCCATAGTGAGAAGAATGTGGAGGAAAAGAGAAAAAAGTTATGCAAAGAATACAAAGCCTGCAATTATCTAGAAGTATGTGTTTGTAGATTGTAGATTTCCATTACTAAACATTTCTAAAGGTGTCTTTGTTATTTTAAAGATATGGGTAGAGCTCCTCTTTTAGTTCTGTGGGCACATCGCGGCGCAATGCGGTTGTACCACATCTCACTGCAATATGCTTAAAAAAAAAAAAGTACCTCATGCTGTACAACGGTGCCCACACGTGACGAGACGAATTGCCTTGTCTTGCGTTCGGGCTGCGCTGGAAAAAATGTCCAGCACAGCCCGAACGCATATGATGTGAATGGGCCCTTAATCCGGAGATGACCCTGCAGTACCTAATTCTCTTCCACAAGATGTTCTCAGTCTTTCAGGTTGAATGATGGCCAGCGTCATTCACCAAAAGATGAGACAATACTGTCTGTCCAGAGCATCATGGGCCCTCCCTTGAGGGGCTGTTATTACTGTGCCCTGCATTTGCTGTGTAATGGCGCAGAGAAAAATCTTTCATGCCCAAGCCCCCACAAATATCATTTTAGAACAAATATTTAGACTTTGGCATAAACCCAACCATGAGTGATGCTCTTTATGACACTGGTTTAGCATCTACTACACATATACAACGGAGAAATCGCAGCCCTATACAAAGCTGTCACTTTACTACTTCTCTTTGGTACCCCCAGTAAGGGCTTTATGTTGGCCAACAATGCAATTACTTTCTGTAGAGAGGTTAGCCTGATAAAGTATACAGAAACAATCTGTGCTGTCTTGCCAACCAAGAGTTTGTCTGGAAACTGCAACCAAGATGCCAGTGGACACCAGTGTAATACTGGGTGCTTGCAGGACCTACTGGGTATCTGAAACAGCACAAGACCAGAAGATCCCTCATTACCAGTACCAAGCTAAAATATTTCCTTGGAAATTAGTTACTTAGGTGTATATGTTAGGAGCCTAACTGATTCACACTGCTGAGTCTACTACTTTAGCAACCCCCTCCCTTCCTTATGGCAGCATTTTTTTTTTTTTATCCCTTTTTAATATTTACATTTTTCAGAGTCTTCAGGCCGGTCCTCTGGGGGCTTGGGTATGAAAGATTTTTCTTTTGTCCTCTTATTTAGTTTTGCTGTGGAGCTAAGAAGCCCCTTTATTAGTGCCCAGTGTTCTGTCACCTGCCTGATCTCATGCTGATAATGTTTGTAGTCTTCAAGCTCCTGAGTATATGGTACAAGTTCATTCTTCACTTCCACAGGAGAGGTTTTCCAGAACAGTGGTAAACGTTCTCACTGAGGAAGGCTAGTCAGTGATTTATTTGCTGACTTTGAAGGAGAGGCGTCATCCCTTATCTGCAAGTTTGCCCTACTAATAAGGTACTCTTCGTGTATATGGAAATACCTTGCCATAACATTTTAGCACAATTTGTTTTTAAATAAATACTCAGACCTCAAATATTCCTTTTGTGGAAATTAATGAGCTGATTAGAGATGCACCGATGTTTCGGCCGAAAATGGTGCTTTCGGCAAATTGCCAAAAGTATTTTTTTTTTGACCGAAAATGTGGTGCATCTCTAGTTTCTCTCCTCCCCGCTGGGTGCTGCTCTGTATCCCCTCTGACACAGAGCAGCTCCTAGCAGGTAGGAGAGAAACTTTCAGGAGGCGGGGCAAGGAAATCAGGATGGAGTGAGCAGTCCTGCTGCCATCTCTGGGCTTTTGGATGCCTGCACATGGGCGACTTTTACACGTGAGTAACATGGAAAGGGGGGTCTATTTAATGTCTAGTTTGACATTTTGTAAAAACAAGTCAGTCACTGACCGTAACATATTTGTATTGCTTCTTTTATAGTCATTACTAATGAAAGATGGCTACATTCCAATTGAACCACAAGACTTCTGTGACTGTGAGGAATCGGAATCTAAAAAACTTTTGGTTATCATAAGGAATGAAAATGTATCTTCTCAGATTCACAAGGTGGGCTCTTCAAACCTCACATTTATTTTCTATCCAATTTTTAAAATAATTTGCACATTCCTCTTTTATTATATTCTTGTAAAATGTAGGCAAGTCGTTGTGTTAAATATTTTGTTTGTGTTGGTTTTTGTTTCTCTTCTAACAAAGAGTTTGAACATGACTTTGTATTCTAGCTGTGTATTTGTTGGTAGATGATTAGCGGTTTGATATGCCCTCCCATTTTTATCATTTAGTAATGTTAGAATCCTGTGAAAAGGAATCTGCTTTCAGAAACATAGTATACATGGCTAGTGATCCATATACATAGTGCTCAGCCATATACTAACAGGTCAGACATCTTTGTATGTCAAGCATTCTTCTACAAAGTGACCATTCCTATTTATTCATATGAATAGTAATGGTTCTTTTATTGAAGAATTTCAGGAAAACCTAAACATAATATAATATATATAATAAATAATATAAATACACAGTTGTAATATTTGTATGGTAACTGTTTCACCTGTCAAAGGATTTTTAATTCTGGTCAGCCAATTTTGAGACTCAGAAATTCGTGTCACACAACACAACCAGGTCCTGGCCCTGGCCCTCTCTGCAATTAAACCATTCCACTTGTTCTAGAACCCACTCAAGCCAGGGATTGGAAGGAGGAGATGCATACTGATTATGTCCTTGCTTTGCTCTACCTTCCTGTAAAACATGTTCACAGATGATACTATAATACAAGAGAGCCTAACTGATTCACACTGCTGAGTCTACTACTCTGTGTAATTGCTGCTATGAGGGGAATTGCAACAGACTGATATTAAAATAGATTTTGGAAGTTAAGTCTTCATACTATTACATTTAATGATGAACTGATGGACATCTAACTTCAATTGGGGTTTTTTTCTGTCCATGGAGGGGCACAAAGTCTTCACCTTCAGGTTATACTGCTGCCTACAGGAGGAGTGGACAGTGACAAACTGCAGACCAGCCTAGGATAACCCCTCCTACTACCAGCATGCCTCCGGTTTTTTTTGCTACTGTCTAGGAGGATGGATGTCTTCTTCAGCTCTGCTGTGTATACAACTAACATTTGTTTGCTAGCACTATTTTTTCTTCAACATTTTTTTTTTCTTCACTCAAGATGCTTCTCTACACTGCTGCTAGAACAACCTTCTCTTGGCTTTTGGTGTGCCATATTCCGACCCCAGGCTGGACGCACACCATCATTCCCATTCGGTCTTATTCTAAACACAGAGAGTACAGTCCCGCTGTAGCCTCAACTCGCACTTTAACTGCTTTAGTGTTGCTTGCAAAACACCTACTTATGGTTTTAATGTCTGCAGCCTGGAAAATTTTTGCCCTCTTCTCCTAGAGTCTGTTCCAAGTCTTCTACTACGAAGATTGGAAACAGCTTGACCAGATGTTTGCTCCCTCAAGCGCTGATTAGCCTTGTGTCCGTTAGAAGGGGACTTTGTAGTCTATCCCACTGTGGACCAGGCAGTGTCCCCCCCTTAACAATGCGACCATACCTGTGGAGGATACACCTGTTTCTAAGGACCCAAAAATGATAAATGGTTGGAAGCTCTCTGGGGGCTGTTTTCACTGCTCTTCACCCCATTTTGGCTGTGATCTTGCTTTGCAAGAGGAGTGTTCATGTTCCCTTAAAAAGAATCTTGCCACTACTGCATCCGATTCCTTGGTCATTAAAAAAACATTTGGAGCAAATGGTTTTGGCTTTAAGCTACATTTGTGACAGGCTGCTTGAGGTCTCATCTCCTGCAGGAGTCTAATGTCGGTGCACAAATGAGAGACACTTGGATGTGCTGGACTGTGGAACCCGCATTTTATGAAGCATCTAATCCGCATGGCCTTCAAGGGGCAATTTGACTTTGGATCTACTACTGGTGGTAACTACCCATCTTCATCAGCGGAAGAAGTCTAAAGAACAAACTGAAAAATCATCTTCATCACTATCGGTTGAGAAATGTCCTTTTTCATTTCTCCACACCATCCACATCCAGACCCATAAACTTGGTTCAAATCTTCAGACAACCTTCTCAAGCATGAAGGTGCTGCCGCTCCCCCCCTCCCCCCCCCCCCCTTTACAGCCCCCCGGGGAC